TATTATACAACTCGGGAATCCCATAAGTTAAGGACCCCTAAACCAAAATCTTATAAACCACCAGTTTATACAAAACATTTAACAATAATTAACTATACTAATTAAAGGTAAACAAGATGAGTAGATGAATGACAGTCTCCCAGCTGCGGATCCTCAACCTCGAGACTGGAACTTCTAATAACCTGAAAAATAAATCGTGGGTTAGACCCACGAGCAAGTTCCCTCTACCAAGCCTCTGAAAACCAAGAAATAAAGCATCTCTAACCAAAATCATCCTAATTAAAATTTTAACCTTTCATATAAGATGATACAAATTTATATAAATAATTATATATAAATACAATAATCCTATCCATTAATAGGTTCACTAAATTTGTTGAAACCAATCACCAACGATTAATTATCAATCATACCTAGACCAAATCCATCATTTATATTTATTTTCCAAAACCAATAATGATTATAAGTATTTACATCACACCGTTAGGCTTTGACAAATCATCCGTGTCACCACTAGTATTATTTTGTTAATATATACAAAGTAATACACTATCCTGAAAGTATTAGACTATTCTAATTTAAGAATATCTAATTAATCCTAATCCAACCTATACATGCAATACTTATAGATGATATACTTTAATCATCTAACACATAACAATAATACACTTTGGCAAATCAACCATGCCCTTATAAATATATTTATTTATATACTGGCAACTCAACCATGCCTCCTTTAAGTATATTCATGTATAACTTTGGCAAATCAACCATGCCCCACTAAGTATATTTATTTATACCTTTGACAATTAAACCATGTCTAATTCATACATGAACATCTCATGCACATTATAAGCATATTACCATTTAATAATCAGTCTATCCAAATATATAAGAATAACTAATATTAATTATCTTAAATAATATATACCTATACACATATATTATATAATATATATGTATAATACCTTCCATTTATATATATATATATATATATAAATACTCTCTTCCATACTAATCATAATTAAATCAAAACTCCATGTGTACACATATATACATATATATAAATATATATACACATATATACACCACCCTCCATAACAATATAATATATTATTATATTTACTCCAAACAATTACTACTAATCCTCGTAGTAACACTCTATGGTTCTTAGAATACCAAGAACACCTCCTCAAGTGGTTATTTCAACCCTCACAGGCTTAAAATCAATTCTAAAAATTCACCGGACCCCACAGGACCTTTCCGGGACTCCGAACACCTCCTCACGCGCCCCCACGCGCCGCCAAACGCGCCTAAAACTCTGGAACGCGCCTCCACAAGAAGTCACGTGGCTTCACGCGCCCCCACGCGCTCTCACGCGCCGCCCATGCACCTAATTCTTCCTCTGGCTGACGTGGCGCTCTCTCATTTGCTGGATGTAAACTGGTCCTTATGCGTGTGTCACATAGGATCAGTTCACCGCATCTCTATACACCTCCATGCACTAGCACCACATCACATCAACTCTCCTTTCAATCAGCCACATCTAAGGTTCAAATTTATGGTACATTGAACCTTCATGCACCCGCATTACACTGAATCAATCTAGTTAACTTTAAATAATCCAATGGCCAAGATCAGCTTATGTACCAAATTCCTATGCACCGTATCACACCAGAACCTTCGCTGGCCATCAGGACCATCCCATGGTCTTGATTTGAGGCGCACCGTAGTGTAATGTACCTGACCGCACCGAATCAGAATCGTTTTTATGCACAGAGACCTCTAATTCGTGTACCCAGTATGCATATATATTATTTTTTTTATACACATAAATAATTCTAAAAATATCATAAAAATATAAAACAAATCCAGAAAAATATAGAAAAATTCCGAAAATTCTAGAAAAATTCCAGAAAAATAATTAACCCTTTTGGGTCACAAATTTACCTATACATTGATTTTAAAAACATATATACCACACCTATATACATAATTAAAATCCAATGAATACACAAATTAAATATAATAATTTATATATATATATTTTTTCGATCTAACATGATTTAATTAATGATTTTAAACTAAATTTTGGCACCCAAGGTGATAAATTTATGGGTCCTAAGAGGAGAGTTAGAGACAACTTGCCTGAAGATTTCGAAACGAAATCGAAGCTTTAACCTTTGATTGTCTCTTCCAATTTCGGTATCTGCTTTCTCAGATCCAGCCTATTCCTTGTCCGTTCTCTCTTCTTCTTCCCTCTTTGTCTCTTTTATTTTTTTAACGTGAAAACTTCTTAACCCTAAACCTTATGTGTATATTTATACACATTAAACCCTAAATCCTATTCCTAGTAGGATTACAAAATAAAATAATAAACTAATATTATTTAAATAATATAATATATATATATATAAACATATATTATATTACTTATGCATATATATATCTCCCATAATTAACCATCGGTTAATTAAATCCTAAATCCTATATATATATATCCATAAACCTATATCCTTCTGTAACCTTTATCAATTAATTATATTTATATATAATTAAATCAATAAAAATAATTATTTAAATAATCAAATACCCATTGGCCTTTATTAATTAACCCATCAAGGCTTCATCCAAGCCCAAGACCATATCCTTTGGTCCAACATTCCTTAAGCCCAAACCAATTAATCTAAACATTCAATTAAATAAAATAAATCATTTAAAAATAAAATAAAATTCATTAATCCCAATTAATAAATCCTTTAAATTATCGGGGTATTACATAATCAATCTTTTTACAAGATATTTCTTGTACCACGTTATATATATATATATATATATAGACTACATGGTACTGTACAAAGATGTCTTATTGTCTGTTTTTTTCGTGGAAAATTCTTTCCCTCCTTCCCTGTATTTATAACTATATATTATATAATTTTATATTCTTTAATTGACTTGACTATTGCAGATGCAACAATTTGCGATTATATTAAGCAACATTGCAGCATTCGCCCGATTATATCCATGGCGCGCGTAGTCGGCCGGAAATTTCCGAATTTATTTTTTGTTGGTAAAATTTAGAAGAACTCTCTATATAAATCAGCCACGTACGTACCTATTGATCAATAGACCTGCATTTGGGACGATGATTTGCAAATGGACGACAACCCCTGCCTTTTTTCGTTTCTTTTTCTTCATCTTATTGTGGTACCATTTCGTAGCCAAGTTCGTCAATGTTGATGATGTAGCTTCTCTAGGTAAACTCTTCTTCTTCTTTTTCTCTTTATTTATTTATTATTTATTTTTATTTTTTTGTCACCAAACTCACTCACACGCATTTTCCCGTGACTTAGGAAGGTTAAGAGGAGATGGTAGATATTTTACGCAGCCTCAATTTTATTTTATTTTATCTTATACTTCCATTTCAGAATATGCAACAACACATAGCAATATAAGCATACCAAGGAATCTACTAAGTATGATAATGTATGTTGGGTCAAGTGCAGAAAACGTACTATGTTTACAGTGTATATTACTCCCTCACGTGTAAAAAATATCTCTAAAATTTTAATTTGATGTAAATAAGTGCGTCTAATAAATTTAAAGTCTAAGTTGACTAAATTACCCTTACTGAATCATTTTATTAAATATATAAAAATAAACAATTTTATAAAATGATTGAAAATGACACTATTAGAGGATGCCCTTCACATGCAAAAACACGTACACCTAAAGTTTCAATCGGGTGCAAATAGGTTCTTCTGACAAATTTAAACCCTAAGTTGACTAAATTACCCTTACTAAACAATTTTATAAAATATATAAAAAATAAATAATTTTATAAAATAATAAAAAATGACATTATTGGAGGACATAGGCAATGGAGAAGTAAAGATAAAAATATAAAATAAAAATAAAATTATAAAAGAAAAGTAAAGAAGAAAATAGAAAATAAAAAATGAAAATAAAGTGCAAATTAAAGAAAACAAATCTGTTCCAAACTCTGAAAACCAGTGTATACTGATATTGAGAAATTTTTTAATATTTTTTTAACAGTGTTGGTACGAAAAAATAAAATAAAATAAAAAAATAATAAAAAAGAGTAAACTGAAATCTCAAAAATTTCAAATCCTTTTCTACAAATTCTCAAAATTTAAAAAAAAAAAAAAAAAAAAAAAAAAAAAAAAAAAAAAAATTGTTTAGAGATATATATAGAGGAAAAAGTTTCAAAAATATATATATATAAAGCAATATGCACATAAAATCCCTATTTTATGAGATTAGTAGTATATATACCTCTAAGTTTTTTCGAAAGAGTAAAAAGACAAAACGGGTATTATAAGATTAATTTATGTCAAAGGGAGTATTTTTGCATAATGTGAAATAAATTAGGGGCATTTTTTGTACACTTTTTTAAATAGTGATAAAATATTACGTGAAATATACTTTAGAATTATTTTATACACTTGTCCCAATGTATGTTACTTATTATAAGATTGTCGATATAGTTATCAAAATCATTGCAGGTAAGATGTATCCCTTCATACGGAGGAACTCAGTATTCACTTGGAGGAGCTATCCAAATAAGTAAATATAAAATAAAATTATGAAAATAGTAGAAGGTATAAAATACTTCATAACTCATTATGCGTGAATTTTCCGATGGGCTTTAAAAATATTTCTAGATCAATTAAAGTTTTTTGCCTATGATTTCAAGATGTGGATTTTATGACGTATTTATTATCTACACATTCTGAAGCTTGTCAATTTAGAGGACAAAGAAATACCACTAAACTGCTGGTGTGTGCATTAAGATGGCTAGCAGTGAGTACTTGCTTGTGATCGGAAAAAAACTAATTCCTTTTCTCGCTATTTTTAATTAATTGACAGTTGTTCGACCACGAGTTATACGAAGAGGAACATCTCAAGTGTCAGGTCCAGTTTGTGAGCAAAGATGTCCAGCTTGTTCAGTTCCAACACCAATGGTTTTGACTACACCCATGCCGTTGAAGATAGGGATTCCAAAGAAAAACGGATTCACTGAATTTGTTAGTTCGTATAAAGATCCTCGTACCAATAAGACACATGCCAATGGATTTTCCGTAGATGTGTTCTGTGCTGCATTAACGTTGTTACCTTTGAAGGTGAATCCAGAGTTTCTCCCATTTGAGAACGAAGATGGAGAAAGTTTAGGGACTTACGATGACCTTCTTAAGAATATATCTGTCAAGGTAAGTCTGACATCCTTCCTCTTTTATAATCTTACAATGTTCTCTCTCCGTGTGTATATATAAAAAATAGGTGTATGCTTTCTATATAATTAAAATAAAAACTAATTTTCTAAATTCAAATTGCAATTTAATTATTAAATCTTTGATGGATTGAGTTGTAATTGTCTATTTTTTTATTAGATTGACAATAAGTTTCCATCTAGTTATTTACCCAAAAAAATAATAATAATAAAAATAAAAAAAATAAAATAAAATGTTTTCATATAGTGAGATTTAATTGTTGTTGTTAATATCCATGATGGTACCAAGAAAAGCCTTCTAAGTTATTTATAAATGGCTTACGTAAACTATCTTACTACCTACGTATAAGAAAACTCTCCGAAGGACATTGCTTTTTATGATTTGTGCAGAAAAATTCAAAATGTTCGAGAAGGATTTATTCTGCACAAAGTACACATGGAGAGCACTCTCTCTTCACTATTGTTCATTTTGATTAAAGAATTTAAAATAAATGGATTTATGTTCAATTACGTAAAAAACAATAAATATAATTTGATGGATTATAGGAGATTTGAAATAAATAGTTTTTTTTTTTTTGGTAAGTAAGTGTGTAAATAAATAAAGAGACTATTTTTTTGTAACATTACTAAATTAAGTTTCTAATATTAAATTTATAAAAAGTAAATCATCACATCATACGATAGTCATGGAGTGATATAGGAGTTATGGTGTGATAGAAACACGGTTTTGGTCTGAACCGGGTTGCTCCTTCTAAACGGGATGATGGGTAGTACGGAGCGGCGGAGGTGGAGGGGGAACAAAACTACCAGCTGTAGAGGAATACGTGAAGGTTGAGAGGCTAGAGGATGAGGTTATGTTTGCAGAGTGATTATGTTGTAGAGGAATACGTGAAGGTTGAGAGGTTTGAGGTGCAGGAATGGTTAGTGGCTGGTAAGGATCAAGTTGTATAATGACTCAAAATATTTGTACCATAAATGTAATCTGACATTACCTTAGAATTTTGGTACAGCGGAAGTGTGTATGTTTGAACTTTCAAAATATATATATATTTCATTTATCTCAATTATTCTTAAACTCCACAAATTTACACAGAAACTAAAATTCCACAAAATGACTGGATGACGTTTTTCAATTTGTTCTTAACAGTATGATGCAGTGGTGGGAGATGTGACAATAATGGCAAATCGGGTATCATGGGCTGATTTCGCATTGTCATATGTTGACTCCAGTGTTTATATTCTTGTACCAACAAAACATAATAAGTGCAAAAACATGTGGACGTTTCTTATGCCCTTAAGCTGGGATTTTTGGGTAGCGATTGTGGTGGCTTTCATTTTTGTTGGAATTGTAATCGGAATTATAGAGATCCGTTCGAACATCGCCAACAAAGATTTTGGGGGTGGTCCACTTAAGAATTTCGGCATGATGATATGGTATCCAATTTCAATGCTCGTCCTTCCTGAAAGTAATTTCTTCTCAATCCTTGGCTAAACTTTGAAATATATTTTTCATTTTTGAATTGATAGTATAGAGAGATTGATCATGTTTGGTTCAATTATCAGAAAATAATTTAGTTCTCTCTTTTCCTTTTCTTTTTTTTTTAAAAAAAAAACAATTTTTATAAAAGACAATTTTCTAAATTTACTCCATATTTTCAAATTCATTTTTACAAAAAGGGTAAATTGCAAAAAAAAAAATCCTATTTACTATGTGCATATAAGTCTCTAATATTTGAAAATATGTGCAAATTGTACCTTAATATGTGTTGACAGCCATTTTTAACTATTTTTGTTTTTTTAATAAGAACTCCAAAATATCCTTGATATACCCTTAAAAGTTGAAATCAATGTTTCTTATTTTAATTTTGTTTTAACTTTTAAGGGTATTTTTAAGTATTTTAGTGTAAATATATCAAGCAATGAATAGATTTGAACCAACCAAGTCATGGTATTTTGCCGGTAACAGGAAGGATGATGGTGAGCATGTGGTCTAAACTTGTGTTGGTAGTATGGTTGTATACTGCATTCATCATAATGCAGAGTTACACTGCAAATTTGACAGCAATGTTGACAATAGATCAGCTACGACCATACTTCAATAAGGAAGGCAATTACAGTGTTGGATACCAAGAAGGTTCCTTTGTGAAAGATTTTCTAATACAACAGAAGAACTTCAGCGAGTCTCGTCTCAGGGCATATTCGACCATGACCGACTATCATAAAGCCTTGTCGAACGGAAGTGTAGCTGCCATATATGACGAGCTACCCTACATCAAGCTCTTCCTCCGCAAGTATGGTTCTGATTACACGGTCGATGGACCAATACTCAGAACAAATGGATTTGGCTTTGTGAGTCTCTCATTCTTACTCTCTAAATCTGTGTTTGAATGTTTGTTGGTGGTGATAGAATTAAGTTTCAATCGGTTTCATTATATATTTTCCATTACTTCCATGATCGTTCAAACTCACACACATTATGTCCCTAATTTTCTATATCTACTTCACATTTTCATAAACTTTTCCTAAAAGTAAGAAAACAATTGGACAATTTTCATTTCTTCATAAAGTTTATGAATTTGCAATAATTTTCTTTCTTTTCTTATACGTTTCATGCTTCCAAACTGTGAAATTGAAAACTCCTCAAAAAAATTTCTCCAATTTTTTCTTGGTATATGACATCATATATGGTTTTTATTTTGTTTATTTTTTTTTATAGTTTATTTTTCCACTTTTATTTGTATAGTTAGTATTCACACACATTTCATAAATTGACCACTGTGAAGCTCAAACCCCTCATTACCATTTCTAGGGAATAGAGGTTATACCCAGGGACAAAGCCACCCTAGGCTTAGGGGAGGCACCTTCCCATGGTCACATTAAATTTTTCTAAACTTAGGCCTATAATTTATAAAAAAATTTAAAATGCCCCCTAAATTTATCCTTTTCTAAAATTATTTCATTCACTCTTCTTCTTCTTCTTTCATTATTTTTATTTTCTTCAAATATTTGCATTCCCTAAATTCAATACAACTTTAATTTATTCCCTTCAAAGCTCTCTCTTTATTTATTTATTTATTTTATTTTCCTTCTTCTTTGGTTTTTTTTTTTTTTTTTTTTTTTTCTTCACTTGTTTTTATTATTGTAAGTGAATAACTGTAATGATATATATATTTTTTTAAGAAAATCAATATAATGCAAATATAAATTTTAAAATAATTAAAAACTTCTTTGATAAATTATGTTATAGCAACTGTTTTTCAAATTCATTAACTAAAAAAAAAAAAAACAAAAAAAAACTGTTTTTCAAATTATTAAAATTATTTCATTCACTATATCAATTTTGAATAGTGGACCGGCACTACACTTCTATTTCTCGACTCGTGAAGCTAATTCCTCACATCGTCTCTCTGGTTATCCAATTGAGCTAAAGGCCATTAATGACATTTATCTATTGTTATTCCTTCATCCCAAAAATAAATAGATGTCCACCTTTTTATTTTTGTTGCCTCAAAATAAATATCTTACTTCAAAAGTCAAAATACTATTTTTGTAACATTAGCAATTTAACCTTTTTGCATTGATTAAATCATTCCATCAGTGTGAAGCCACTATTAATAAATTTGATAATTCATTCACAAAAAAATATTATAACTCAGACCGAAGTTATATTACTTAATTAATTAGTATATTATATATATTGCACATAATATGACCCTTGACCAACATACATAACATGTGTAATAATCGAACTAGAAAAAATTCATATTTATTAATTATAAATGATTAATAATAGTTCAATGTTCATCTATTATAGTGTTTCCGTCGTCCACTTTCACGTTTAATTTTTTTTTTTTTTTCTTTGTCATATCAATGATGATGTACCCAGATAAAAGTTTATTTGATTCTTGTTTATCATTCATTCTTAAACAGGCATTCCCTTTGGACTCTTTCTTAGTCCCTTTAATTTCAAGGGCAATCACAAATGTTACTGATGGAGGGACAATGGTTGAGATTGAACACAAGTATTTTGGAAAAAAACAGATTTCCGAAGTTGAAATTACACGACTCCCTGAAAAAACTCCCAGCCTTGACTACTTTAACTTTATAGGCCTCTTTATTGTCACGGGGAGTATAAGTTTAGCAAGTTTATTATGCTCTGAGATTTGGCGATCGCGAAGACCTGTCCAAAACGTGCCTTCTGCCGGGGAAGTTAATGTGAATGGAAACGTGCCAATAATTGACAATCAGGTTGAACAGCAACCTACAACTTCTAACCAGTGTGTCGAAAATGTGCCTTCTACTGGGGAAGTTAATATTACTGGAGATGTGCCAATAATTGAGAATCGGGTTGAGCTGCAACCCACCACTTCTAACCAGAGTGTCGAAAATGTGCCTTCTACTGGGGAAGTTAATGTTAGTCGAGATGTGCCAATAATTGATAATCAGGTTGAGCCTAACCAGAGGGTCCAAAGCATGCCTTCTACCGGGGAAGTTAATGTTAGTGGAGATGTGCCAGTAATTGAAAATCAGGATCAGCTGCATCTGACAACTTCTAACTAGAGTGTCGAAAATGTTGCTAAGAAGAAGAGGAATAAGATGAGGAAGAAGTGCACTCTTCCAAGCTTAGTGTTCTTAATGATTCAGTTATGTCAAGTCATCCAACCTCAAGATCATAAATTATTGTAATTTTAGTATAAGTTTAGTAGAACTCATGTCCTCTCCAGTGCAATAAACAGTCTGTTGCACTCGAATGGTTGGATAACACTCCATAGGAGGTAGGTGTTGGGTTTTAATAAAATTAATCCATGTAGAAATCAAGAATACTTTAATTAATTAAAGAGTAATTTAGACTCATACCTGATTGATGAGTAACTTACATATACCTTTATGATATCTATGTAATCATCTGTGAGTTTCTACAAAATATTAGAGCGATTTAACCCCTTCTGAAAGTTGTCGATATGATAAGTTTGAATAAGGGTTTTAAAAACCCTTATATATAACAACAACAGGGGGGACGGTTTCTTTACAAACAAGCATACCTAAATCTCTCTTCCTGTCACGAAAACTTAGATGTTAATGGTTAGAATTAAATCATACCAAATAAGTTGGAAACCACAATCCAACGGTATAAAACCATACTCCCAATTAGACCACCAAATTAGAAAGTACAAACCAATCCATCAAGTATCAATAATCACATTGTAATCCTATTTTAGAAAACGTAGTACTTAGAACCATAAAATAATTTTTATTATTTAAATATATATATAAAAATTCCAACAATCTCTCACTTAGTCCATGCACTCTGAGTTTTATAAAATGACACTATTGATTTCAACACACTTTATAAAAGTCGAGTGGCCACTCATTTTTTATTTAGAAAAAACACAATTATCGAAATTGATGGATTAAAACTTTAGAACACTCTCCTCCATAAACTTCCTTAATAGTGGATCATGAATGCGTAGATAAGTAATATATTAGTCTAAACAGTTCTATGATCTCAAAACCGATTCCATCTAAGATTCAAACAAATATAGTGGTTTTTACTGTATTTCATGAGATGTGCAAACTGCATATGGTCTAAACGCACACCTCACTATCCGTCCTACTTCATACCATCACGGTATGTCACCTGAACATATTACAGCAAACCGCCAACCTTCTGTTCAGTGTAAAGGTTTATCGATATGAAGCCAATCCCACATCTAGCCCAAGCTATCCTCATGGAGTGTGAAATTGTAATGACCCGGATTTTCACTGATATTTTTTTTCCGTTGTCTTTCCTTTCTGAGTTCAGTTCCTCTTCGCTTAGTGTCGTCTCGAGTGCTCTGGAGTGATTTCCGAGACTCTTTTCTATGGATTGACAACTTCCTTTGAAGACCGAGTTGTTTCCACATTTTTCATTTTTCGACACTATTCACTTTTCATCCTTTTCCTATTTTGTCCTTTTCCTTATTTTGTCTTTTCCCCGTTTGACACTTTGTTGGCGTAACCACACTTCTTGTGTTCGGAGTTGGTTTTTGACTTCATGTATCTCCATCTTGAGTGGTTTCCACGAAATACGTATCTTTACTTTTGCAAGAAAGTACTCTAACTGCTCCCGGTGTCCATAGGGGCATGGATGCAAAGTTCTTTGAAATTATTTTCTTTTCTTGGGGTGTTTTTCGTAAATATCTTTTGAAGATATTTTATTTCAGGGGTTTTTAAGAAAATATTTTTGGAAGATATTTTCATTCTGGGCCATTAGTGCAGTTTTCACTTTTTGGAGGAGCCATTGTGCAATTAATGAAAGTTATTGCTAAATGCCTTGTTTTGAGCCTGGATTCTCATACAGGATTCATTTTCACTTTTCGTCGAGTCGTGTACTCTTAGAAATTCCTTCTGGTCATTGTTTTCCAGTTTCAAGATTTCTGGACCTAGTTAGCGCCAAACTTGTTTGGGGCATAACTTTCTGCTCAGGACTTGGTTTTTGACACTGTTTCCTCCATTATTCATATTTTCTCATTTTAAATCTTTTTCGTTCATAGAGTTTTGTCATTTGAGCGCGTCTGCTCAAATTTCACTTTTTCGGACCTGACGGGGACCGTTCGGGGCACTTTTTGAGATTTCTATAAAAGGGGGGTGAGATATTTTATTTCTTCATCTTCCCTACTCTCTTGCACGACCTGAAGCTTCCATGGCAGCCCAACGGAAGCTTCCACCTTCTCTCTCCTCTTTTGAACTTCATTCCTTCGTCAGAACATAGAAGGGCCTTTGCGTTTAGTGTTCGTGTTAACTACGTGCTTCTTTCACCCTTATTAGAACCCGTTTCTGACCATGCTTTGAGCTTGGGTTTGAAATCAAGTTGTGATTTTGATGGGGCTTCCTTGGGGGTTATGTGCACGGTGTAGTCCCCGACAAAACCTAGAAGTTTCGTCAGATTTGGAGCGATTTCTATTTGGTGGCTTTTGAGATTTTCATCTCAAATTGAGGTAGGGGATGTTCTAGACTTTTGTGTGTGTTGTATTGAGTGTTTAGCATGATTCTACAACTTAATTGCATGCCTTGTATCAATTCTAGAAAATTAGTATTAATTATTTCTTTGTATGAAATTTAATTCACAAGGATGTGTATAACTTATAAAGGAATTGTGGCATGCTAGAAAATCATGTTTTAATATGTTTGTTAACATATATTAAATTAAGATTAATTGAATAAGAATTGCACTTTTTATTTAATATTTATCTTTGGTGAAAGATTAAATCCCATGGCCATACTTTTCATGAAATGAACTTGTAGTATGCTTTTAAATTAAGTCTTAGCATGTTTGTTAACATACTTTAATTTGAGAGTATTTGGACAAGTATAAAAATCTAGAGATTTTAAATTAAATGATTAATTAAAATCTATTTAATGGTTCCCTTGACCCAATTAAGTTTTTTACTTGATAATTATGATAACTAGGACTTGTATACTAGTATATATTAAATTGGGACCATTTCAAGTTGCTTTGAAATTTAGAAGTTTAATTATCATGATATAATTAAATTCTACCTTGTTGTGCCATTGGCCTAATTGAGATTTTAGTGAATGTATGTATATACTATGCTATATTGTATAATATGCATTGATTAGGGGCCATTTGATTGAGATTTGTAAGATAGGGAATTTTATTAGTTTATTTGATTAAATTCTGTTTCTATTGCTTTAATGATTAAATCCTGAAATTGGCATTGATAGTATGTTTGAAGCATGATTTTAGACTTGTAATAGATTTATAAATTATGTTTTCAATATTGGATTATATTGTTATAGCGTGTAGCGAATCGCACACTGAAGATTCAACATGTGATGTTATTATAGCGCGTAACGAATCGCGCTCTGAAGATTCGACATTGTCATCCTATAGTTGTTGTGGATTTAGAGGATTTGTTGTGTGGTTACAACACACTTGTGCATGAAGGTAGTTTCGTGTACTGTTTAATACGTATATAAGTTGTTAATTTATTTATTTTGGAGTTGCTTGGGACATTGTTAAGCTATGATGGCTAGGGTTTGGCTCTAATACAAAGACAAGAGTCCTCTAAGTCAAAAGTTTGCGCGTTGGGTAGGCTGCCTGGGGGTTAAAAGCTCCAAATTAACCCTATAAAGTTCGCGCGTTGGGTAGGTTGCCTCGGGTTAGTAGCTCCAAATTTGCCTTGTCTCGGCGAAAATCCAAGCTGTAATGTCAAAGTCTTCCACTATTTGATTTCACATTCAATTCTAAGTTGACAACCAATATTTAATTGTGACTTGTGGTTTTGGTAATTGGCAATTTGATGTTGTTAAGTACATCCATACTAAATTGATATATTTAGTTGATTTCACACTTTTAGATTGCTAGTTGATAACCTAGAGAATCTATTTCTTGATATGTGGTATTAGATATTCTAATTATACTAAATTATTATATTTAGTTGATGTTATATTTTAGACTTTAAGTTGATAACCTTGAGAACCACTATGTTATTAAAATTGCATGAATGAGGTGATTGATGCTAGAAATGATCTTAGGTAGTTAGGATGCTCCCTGAGTCTCACCCTGACATAGATGTTCGGTGGAATGAATCACAATAATTAAATCATGCAACTTGTAAAACTTTACGTCAATGCATGCTCATTTCCTACGAGTAGCTTTATGTTACTCACCCCTACGATACTGGGGCATATTTCAGGTACAGGATACAAGATTGGAGATTGCAATTGCTTGGGGGATTTGCTGAGTTGAGCTTCTTTAGAAACATTCTTGTTCACATGCAAGTATTAGCATATTCATGATTTGTCTATGAAATGTAAATTTTCTAACTTGGAGGTTTGACATGTCAAATGTTGTAAATGTATTGTAATGAGGCCATAGGCCATTGTAGCACATCTATTTTATCATATTACATACACTTGCATGCTCACTTTGGCAAACAATACCTTTCTTGATGAAACAAAAACTCTAAGTAGCATTTTTAAGGAGTTTTACCTTATTCTGTTCCAGGGGCATTTCGGGTATTTCACAATGAGTTTTTTTCATTTTTCCTCATTAGTCATGTAGAAAACTCAATTTTGATGGGGGTTTCTTCTTTGTGTTTTTCCAGAAAACATCATCTTGGCCCTTAAAAATCAAGATTTTTCCGAAAAATTCTTGCTGTCAAGTTTTGCAAATTTTTAGTACAAATGTAGTTGGTACTATTCATCGACTTTTTTTTGAAAATCGTCACAACCGATCCAAAACTTTCGGAGGTCTTGTGGGTGCATTTTAAGATTGCATTTTCTATTTAGGCAATTTAAAAACCTCCCGAAGCCCTATTTTCAAAACTTGGGCAGTAGCTCGGATTAGTTTTTTTCCTCTTGACCTGATTTTCTTGGGGGCATTCTGGGCATTTTACAATGCATTTTTTTTGTTTCCGTCTTTAACGGGGTAGGAAACTTGATTTTAAGGGGGGTTTCTTCTTTGAGTTTTTCCAAAAAAGTCCGTTTAGATGCCCGTTTTTACTCTCAGTTGCAGCAGTGGTGGGTTGTCCTCGTCAGGCTACCACGACATCATT